GTTTTCTGGTAATCGGCCATTTTCTAATGGTTTTTCTGGTCATCGATCTTCCTCTGGTGTTGTTCCTAAGTGCCAAATTTGCCAAAAACGTGGCCACACTGCTGTTAACTGTTATCATAGGAATTCATCTCCTCAGAATTCTGCTTCTGCTTCTGTGATTGAGTGCCAGATTTGTGGGAAACGTGGCCATGGAGCTTTGGATTGCTTCCATAGGTCCAACTATGTGTATCAAGGCTCATCTCCCCCTGCTTCATTGACTGCCATGGCTGCCCAAGGTTCTTTTTCAAATGATTCTGTGTGGATTGCAGACAGTGGAGCTAGTCATCACATGGTGTCTAATCTCAATACTCTAGATTCTGCTTCTCCATGCAACACAACAGATCGCGTTACGGTTGGAAATGGAGAAGGTTTGCCTATTGCACATGTTGGCTCTGCCCATGTTTCGTGTGCATCTTCTAATCTACATCTGAAAAATGTCTTTCATGTTCCTAAGCTCACTGCTAATCTTCTCTCTGTCCATCAACTTTGTCAAGATAACAATTTCTCCATTATCTTTGATCAATTTGGGTTTTCTATACAGGACAAGGACACTACTCAAATTCTACTCCAAGGCCAGAGCAATAAAGGATTGTATCCAATTCCTGGTGTGATACCTCCAAGCATCCAGTCTAAAGGAGTTGCTTATCTTGGTCAACGAATAAAGTCTTCTGTGTGGCATAGTAGGTTAGGTCATCCTACTAATGAAATTGTCCATGCTATGCTTAAGTCTGCCCAATTTCCTTTTGTAGTCGATTCTACACAAAATTTATGCCCTTATTGTTTAAGTGGCAAGATGCATTCTTTGTCTTTTCCTTCTGCTCATATCAAAGCTTCTAGACCTTTCCAACGTGTTCATAGTGATGTATGGGGCCCTGCTCCTTGTAAATCTCTTGATGGATACCGTTATGTAGTCAATTTCATTGATGAATACACTGGTTTCACTTGGATGTTTCCTATGTTCAATAAGTCTGAAGTTTTTACAATGTTTACTCGACTTCTTGCCTTTGTGAAGACTCAATTTTCTGGTTCGATTCAATGTCTTCAAAGTGATAGGGGTGGTGAATATGTAAGCAAAAATATGTAAGCAAGCAATTTAAGGAATTTCTTTTATCTCAAGGCATTGTACATCAAGTCTCTTGTCCATATACACCTCAGCAAAATGGTTTAGTTGAGAGAAAGAATAGATATCTCCTTGGAACCTCTCTTACCTTAATGACAGCAGCTTCTATTCCTCTGTATTTTTGGTTTCATTCAATGGCACATGCAGTGTATCTTATTAACAGGATGCCTAGTCGAGTTTTAGATAATCAATCACCATATTTTCGATTGTTTCATAAGCTCCCAGATATTACATATCTTAGAATCTTTGGCACGGCTGTCTATCCTTGTCTTAGATCTCATACTTTACATAAGTTGCAACCTCGCTCTACCTTGTGTGTATTCCTAGGCTATATGATGGGATATAAAGGAATTCTCTATTATAACTTGGAGACTAGAAAGGTTCTTACTTCTCGGAATGTTGTGCATGATGAGAGTTGTTATCCATTTAAAGGGGTCCAAGTTTCCAAGCCTGTTCTGGTCTCACAAAGTTCCTCTTCAGTTCCTGTTGGTCTTTCTCAGGATTTTATTACACCAGCTACTGTCTCTAGTTCCTCTTCCCCACCACCTTTGGACAATTCAGTGCATCATTCCACAGAGGTATCTTCTTCCTTTCAGCATGAGTTATTCCCAGTGTTGTCAGAGCATCAATTAGACGTGGTTTTACCTCCTGTTACTAGCTCTTCTAGTTCCTCCTCTTCAAGTGTGGATTTATTGTCTTCTTCCTTGGCTACATCAGGCCCTACTTCTTTGCCCTCAACCAATTCTCATCCCATGACAACTCGATCTAAGAGTGGTATCTATAAATAGAAAGATTATTCTGATTATCAGTGTTATAGTACTCGTTTGCTTGATGACTTAGAAGAGCCAACAAGTTTCAGAGTTGCTTCTTTTTCTTCTGAATGGAAAAAGGCTATGCAAGAAGAAATTGATGCTCTTCATATGCAAGGTACATGGATATTGGGGCCTCCTCCTTTGCATAAGAATGTAGTAGGCACTAAGTGGGTTTATAAAATTAAAAGAAATTCTGATGGCACTATATCCAGATATAAAGCAAGGTTGGTTGCTCAGGGCTTTAGTCAAGAACTTGGTGTTGATTATTCAGAGACTTTCAGCCCCGTAGTAAGGCATACTACTGTTCGAATTGTGCTAAGTTTGGCTGCAATGCATGGCTGGAAATTAAGGCAATTGGACGTCAAGAATGCGTTTTTACATGGTGACTTGGATGAGAAAGTGTTTATGAGGCAACCACAGGGTTTTGAAGATCCACAAAAGCCTCAGTTTGTGTGTAAATTGAAAAAATCATTGTATGGATTAAAACAAGCACCTAGGGCATGGAACGCTAAGTTCACGGGTTATCTTCCAGCTATTGGTTTCAAAGTGTCTCAGTCTGATCCGAGTTTGTTCATTAAGCATACAGGTTCAGATATCATTGTTTTATTGCTCTACGTAGATGACATTATTTTGACAGGCTCAAATACATCTCTTGTTCAAGAAACTATTGAAGACTTAGCTTCGGTATTTGAACTCAAAGATATGGGATTACTTACTTACTTTCTAGGGCTGCAAATCTCTTATGCATCCACAGGAACTATCTTTGTTAATCAGCATAAGTATGCTAAGGAATTGTTAGCTAAAGCAGGCATGAGTAGTTGCAAGGCATGCTCAACACCTTGCAAACCTCATTCTCAAATTCTGACAACAGATGGTGAACCATTGAAGGATCCAACTTTGTTTCGCAGCTTGGTAGGCGCTTTACAATATTTGACATTCACAAGGCCTGATATTGCTTATGCAGTGAACATTGTGTGCCAATACATGACAAATCCTACAGACTCTCATTTCTATCTTGTGAAAAGAATTTTACGATATATTCAAGGCACACTTCAATATGGCATTACATTTTGTTCTGGTCCAATGCAACTAACAGCTTATAGCGATGCCGATTGGGCTGGAGATCCTTCTACTCGAAGATCAACTACAGGTTTCATAGTGTTTCTTGGTCATAATCCAGTCTCATGGCAATCAAAGAAACAGGGAACAGTTGCTAGGAGTTCTACAGAAGCAGAGTATCGTGCTTTAGCGAATACTGCTGCGGACATTGGCTGGATTCGACAGGTGTTAGCAGATTTACATGAGTTCTTGCCAGAGCCTCCTTTAATGCATTGTGACAATCTTTCTGCCGGGAAAATTCAAATTCTAGGAAGGGAAACCGTTTCGCGTTTCAATCATAAATCAATTATTTGTATTTGGATGGGATTGGTTGAGACAGAGCCTAATTGAACTGCTTTGTAATTAGTTGAATATAATTTGATTGTTTGGATTTAATTGAAGTGGAACTAACAAGTTTGACATACGCCCTTTTTTTATTGACATAAGAGGGTTGGATTGATTTCGTTTCAGCGTTGTTTCTTATTACTTATGATTTTTCATTTGTATCCTGTCCTGTGACTTTGATTGTTTCAAATTTTCTTCGGTTAGTGTATCTTCTCATGTGCTGCTTCAGTGAACATTGGGTTTGTTTGGTTGCTGGGAATTTTTGGGACATGAAAAGGGTCATTATTTTCTCAATGGTAGACTCTGAGTCATTTGAACAAGTAATAATGATTGCCAGAATAAGGTGCTTCATTAATTTCAATGGGGAATTGTTTATGAGGAAAGTGTCTACGCTAGAAAAGTTGGATGTTTGTTTAAAGCAGAAAGATTTTATTTCGGCAGAAACTGGTTCTTGTAGAAATTTCACAATTTTTTTTTTTCTTCAGACCCATGCGAGCATTAGAGCCTTTGTGGAAAAAATTTCCTAGACAAAAAAGACTGCTTAGGAAATGTTTTCTAAAGTAAAAGACTAGAAATATTTTCCACCTGATGTAAAGTTGAAGCAGAGGCAAAATCAGGAAAACATTCTCTTGAAATAATGTCCCTAAAGCTACCGAACAGTATTCACTAGAACTTTGTTCCTTAAACATCTATTTTATGTCAAGGAAATCAAGGGCAAGTTTAATTTCCTTCTTAAACTCTTTTGCAATACTAGAAATCAAAGCAATGTAAGTCGTGGAGCATAGAACTAGAATATAACTCCTGCTTCCTTTAAGTGTTTATGCTGATTGCTAACCAACTGAAGATTCTTGGTTTGTGATTTGTTTTTTTCTTGACTTGAATTTGAACAGGTGTAGTAGAACTGTGAATGATGTCAAGACCTGTGTTGCTTGTTTTTCTGCTTATTGTTCTCATAATCACTTCCCAGTTTGAGTGGAGGCAACCACTTGTGGTTGACCTTGACGCAACTCCAAGCATCTCCCAAAAGCAGAATCAGATCTCAAATAGGGAAGAAGCCGTAAAAGAGAAGGTGACAAGTCTCTTCCTAATTCCAGTTTTCTTTTTGTATTTGATTATAAAATGGAGATGTTTATTGTGCAAAATCTTTCTTGAACTTTATGATGAGCTGCGTATTGTATATTTTCTTTCATTAGCTGGAATGCTCGTTGATATTACGTGAAACGGAAATTGTATGTTTTTTATCAGTTAGTCTTAGTTAACTGCAAGCATGTGATTTCATTTGTTTGTGTTTCTTTTTTATCCTATTTCATTTCATAAGGTTTAAAACTCATATGGAAGTTGCAACCCGAACCCAATTACATCCCTGATTCTACCCCCAGCCCCAACAAAAACCACTTCGTGTTCTCCTTTCACTTCCCCTCTTAGCAAATGTGAGATCTAATACTTTAGTTTTGCTGTTCACTAACCACCAGCAATGTTTATTTCCATCCCCCTATTATTAGTTTGTGAGTAGATGAAGCTAGTTAACTTGCATCTGTAGCATTAACTAAAACAAGCATGAAGGTCTTCTCCTCGAGACAAAAACATTTATGTAGGTTTATTTTGACCGTATATAGATTGCTTGAATAAAATTGGAAAGCAATAAGGTAGTATCAAGAAAGAAGCATCTTTTGAGCGTAAGTCATAGTTATACATTCTCCACACTTTTTTTCCGTTAGTAGATTAGATTCCTATCCGTACTTCTGCTTTATTTGACCTGTAGGGGTCGTTTGGTACGGCGGATTATCATGGACTGGACTAAATCCTGGGACTATCTTGGATTAGCTCGGATTGGCCTAAACTGGATTAGGTACTGACCTACGTTTGGTGATGTGTCTGACTAAGAAGCTGGATTGTAAAAATAGTGAAGACCTATGTTTGGAGTTGTGTCGGAGTAAAAAATAATTATTTTAATAATTAATTTTAATTATAAATAAATAAAATTCTAATATTTATTTTAATATTTGATATTTACTTTTAATTAAGGATTTTGACCTAAAAATAAATAATAATAAAACAAATAAATTTTAATATTTTTTAAAAGCTAAACTATCTTATCTCTTCTTCTTTTTTTCCTTTTTTTCTCCTTTTTCTCCTTTTCTTCTACCTTTCCTTCCCATCCCGTCCTTGTTTTTTCCTTTCTTCCTGTTCTCTTCTTCCTCACGACTTTTGATCCTTCCCTCATTTTTGCCTTTTTCTCAAATTTTCTTCCCTGCCAAAAACTCTTCAGTTGTGATTCTCTCACAAATTTCATCAATTCTTTCTCTAATTTTCTTCGTAATCACTTTTCATTACTCAATTTGTTCATCTATATATATAAAGCAAAAGGCAGAGAATGTGAAACATTCAAAAACCCCGAAAATATCCTTGGTAAACTAATATTAAAACGCACTTATTTTAATTAAAGCAGGATATAATTGTAAAAGAACAATTACGCATAACTTTAAAAAAATTAAAAAGAAAAGAAAAAAGGTACAGACCCTCACTCCAGAGCAGTTGCTCTTCTTATCAGTTTCTTCGGCCTCATCGTGTCTAAGAGCAGTTCCAGTAGCAGTTCCTTTCAGTTTGCCCCCCACTTCCTTCAAACCCAATTATCATAGGCCTTTCTTCTTACAATGTGAAAAACAGAAAGAGGAGCAGAAAAATAGAGAACCACGGCTGGGAACAACCACAACGCTCCTTGCCAGCTTCACCAATTTCCCAGGTTTTCCCCGCTTAATTTGATGCATGCCTTCTTTTTATCCCTCTTTTACTGTTGTTTTGGTTTCCTCAGAAAATTTCTCATTTAATTGGGTTACTTCCCAGCATCTCCAAGAATTAAACACCTATGATTTCAACTGAAAGTTTTAGAAGGTGGTAAGCCTAACAGATCTTTCTTTCTTATTTGTATTATATTCTTTCTTTGATTGGGTTTTGAGATCTTTCACGTTCAGAGAAGGTTTTAGAGGAAAGGTGTTTGTTGATGATTTTCCGTATTTCTCTATCGTGTATGTTGAACGGTTCTCATGGCTTTTGTGTTCATATCAGACCCATGTCCAAATGAAACGGTAAATTACAGTGGGTAAGAGAGTTTTGAGAAACTTACTCCTTTTGCTGCATGCTCACCATTTATCGGATTGATTTTTATTTGCTATATGAAATGGTAGGTATGAAATTTAAGATATGAATGAAAGTTTGGTTATTCAACTTATATTTGGATTCTTGATTATTCAAGAACAGTTGCTGCAACTCCAAGAATAGGGTAGGTGTTTACTCGCATGGTTAATTCGCAGGGTAGGTGTTTGATAAAATGTATTTGGTTTTGTTCTACGAATTCAAATGACATGGTGGAGTTTTTTTTTTTCTTCACTCTTTTGCAGAGAATACTTTGAAGAGAAAACAGAGAGATGTTGCAACAAGTCTCATATTTGTTCCTTGGTCGTTCATTTTATGAAATGGTGGGTTTTGTTATTCTTTCATCACAAATTTTGTGTATTTGTTATTATGTTATTTCCTTACTGAGTGCGTTGTTTGGTTCTCTTCTCAGGTTATATAAAGAAGCAATCTGTTTATGTTGTTTTTCTTTTTTTGCCAATCTGTTTATGTTTGCTGCAATGATTGCATTTTTGTAAGAATGAAAAATAGTTTCATCCATATACATTACTGCATTCGAGGAAATGCAACCCTCTTTTTGTGTATTGTTGGCTCTTCATATATAATTGAGATTTAAACTTGCCATAACTTATAGATTGTCTTAAACTGATGACAATGACTACTGTTGCTATATTTCTACTATTATATAGATATATATGTATATGTTGTATATTGTGGATATTGCAACCCCTGCTCACTTGGTTATGTGGAGCAGTTGGTAGCTGAGAACATCTCTTTTGGCCATGACTGTGATATGAAACCCAAGCCAGGAAGGTGAACGGGGTGAAAGGGTTCTAAGACGAGGAGGACCGCATGTATACAGATTATGCTATGATTTTTTTCCTTCTATTTTTTTTTTCTCCTGGGATTCCTTTGGTAGAGGAATTAAAAGCAAAATGAGGATGATAGAGATGGAGGGAGTTCAAGTGGAGGAAAACTGCTAAAGGACTTACTGCCCGCGGCTGTGTTTCTTCTCTTTTTAGAGGTTTGTTTCTTTTTATGCTGATATTTGTTTCTTTGATAGTTAAATTGGTGACAAAGAAGACAGCAGCTGGAGGCTTTGATGTACAAGCAGATGTATGCAATTAGACCTTGATGTATTGAGATTGGGTTATAAATAAAGACGTATGCAATTAATTATTGCATCTGTTTCAAATTTCGTTCAAATGGCTATTTTCTTTTACTTTCGTTCCTTAATGTGAATTGTTAACATTGTAGGTTTTCAAGGGGGGTTCAACTTCCCAAAGTGCAGGAGGCTTGCAGAGGAATTGGTGAGCTGCTTTCAACAAAACCGATTACATTAAAATAATTGTTTATTCTATGTTTTCATTATACCACTTAAGTGATATATATGTTTGGATGCTTAGTCTGGCTTTATTTTGTTTTTTGTTTTTTTTTTTCTAGTTCATGGTTTTATTCCTTCTGAATACAGAATCAAATGTTTGGGTTTGGGGTACAAAATCGTGATGTCTAACTAATTCACCAATCCTCTCAGGTACTTCTCTTTCTCATGATTTTGTGCATTTTGTGACATTTGACATTTAATAGGCAATTGAAGTAGTGAGTTCCCAATCTTCTGCTTCTTTGAATTTTGTGGGTTTGACATTTAATAGGCTCAATAAAAAAAAACTTTTGATTATCTTTTAATTATACATTTATTTCTCTGCCTTCTCTCCGGTTTTCAGTTCTTTTGGTTTGGTTTTTTATGACGCTTTGGTTTGATGCCTTCTTTTTATCCCTCTGTTTGGTTTTCTTTTATTTCTCAGGGGATCCATTTGCTACATGAATTAAAATAGAGTCGGAGGGAGGAAAAGGGTGGAAAGGTTTTTCTGTGTTTTTTTTAAAATTATACTTCAAGTTTAACACGACGATTTATCACACGTGCGCAATTAAAATAGGAAAATGTTGAAACAGACATCTATATAGGAGAGCGAATTGTTGAAAGAACTTATGTGTAAGCTGTAAGCATGCTTTACACTTTATAGCTCTTACGAAAACACTAGAAATAAATATGATACAGAGCTTGATAAATACGTAATCTTTCTTTCTTTTAGACCTTACATTATTACTGCAAAAGGAACAAGAGTCCAAACCAAGGTTGCAACACCGATCTGTCTTTACAAAATCCCATAGACCAAGCCATGCAACAAAATTGTACTAAATTTGGGCCAACATTTTGAATGATCGAGATTGTTTCCGATCGTTGAGCATTTCGACCACCTTTCGCATGGAGGGCCTGTTAATTGGGAACGCGGAGGTACATAGAAGAGCCACCATCAAAACCTTCTCAATCTCATCGTAATCGCATGTCGACAGGTCCATCCTTGGATCAACAATCTGGCTGAGATCTGCGTTGAAACAACCATTGCCGTCACCTCCGTTTTCTTCTCCTCCTCCTGAAGGAGGAGAAGCTACGGCGGCCTCGCTAACCCACTTGACTATGTCCTTGTTCTCACCGAAGGACAAGTCATTTGGCCTCTTGCCTGTAATCAGTTCTAGCAGCACCACGCCAAAGCTGTAGACATCACTCTTCTCCGTAACTTTGAGTGTGTATGCGTACTCTGCCAACAGGATAAAAGCACAAGTGAATAAGTTAAAACACCCCTTTAAGCAAAGAACCTCGATAATAAAAAGTAAAGGTCATGTTACACGCGTACGTACGTAAGTGGGTGACCGACAGCAGTTATTAATGTAAGACATACATACATATCAAGAGTTTACAGTCATGGCTGACTGCACAAGCAGATTGTCGATAAGATTTGTTTTGAATAATAATAATGCATATTAACAGGGGTTACCACCTAATAAAATAGTAAACCCATGTTGATGTTGGTGTTGGCAGAGAGCGTTTGTTCCTCCCCAAGCAAGACCAAGGCCACTTGTGCCAACAGTAGGCATTTGACAATAATATATATCAACAAGCAAGACCAAAGACCACAAGAAGTTTGATTGCATGAAATTTAAATTCAGCCAATCAAATATAGTTTCTGATTTCAACTTAACCTAAAATGAAAACAACACTGGGTCCCAAAGTTATGAGCCAGAGATTCTAAATTACAAACCTAAAAAAGCAAAAGTTAGCAACCAACCAGAAAACCCCAACAAAAGTATGAAAACGACTCACCTGGAGCAATGTAGCCGTAGGACCCAGCAATCCTTGACATGGCACCACAGCTAGCCGCCACGTCCTTTTGCAAAGTCTTCGCCAGTCCAAAATCCCCCACCCGTGGGGTCCAGTCCTCATCCAAAAGTATGTTGTTGCTCTTCACATCCCGGTGCACGATAGCAGGAACACAGTCGTGGTGCAGATATGCCAGCCCATGGGCCGACCCGACCGCAATTTCGAATCTCTTTGCCCAATCCTCCAACGCCCCGACCTTCTCTCCGTGCAAGCAATCGCCCAAGCTTCCATTCTCCATGTACTCGTAACCCAAGATTCTACTATCCTCACCGCTACAACAAAACATCAATTTTACGATATTGCCATGGCGGATCCGACCCAACGTCTCCACTTCGGATCGGAAAACGCCCTCAGTTTCGGGG